AATAAAAAATAAATACAGATACATATATATATATATATGTTTTTTTTTAATTAATTAATTAATTTTTATTTATTTATTTATTTTTATTTTAAAAGGCATGCAGCGGGAATATCAGTAAATATCTGAGATGATGATGGCTGATCAGCTCAGGGTTAAATAATTAATTGTGTTTTAAAGTGAGCCGACTCTCATGAGGCTTTTACACGCGTCTCGGTTATTGGATTACAAACCGTTGATCTAAGAACATCTCAGAGGGCTTCAGACTCCCTCATTCAGATCCAGAAACACGTTTAGATCTCTGGAGTCTTTTCTTATCTTCATGTTTTTTTATGACAGTTACAGTAAATACACGAGTTCTTCAAATAGTTAAAATACCAAAACAAACAAACACAATGCGAGTGAAGCACCAGCCGATAAGTGGAAAAGGGAATATTTATGAAGGCTTTCTGAAAAAAAGGCAGAATGTTAATGTAATTTGATTTATCTTAACTTCAGTCTGAATGGAGTTTGCTAAATAAGCCACGCAATTAAATGTAAATGTGAAAGAGACTGTCACACAGTTTGACAATACAAACAACCAACAGGGGAAAATTAGGATAAAGTTTTACTGAAAAATTATAGCTCCTGATTCGAGCTCTTTTTTAAAAGATATATATTTTTAGCGTCATGCTAGTGTCCATCTCAGATATACTAGCCTCTTCAGGGGTGCTAGTTGAATTAACTGGTTTACAATAACTCCTGAAAAAGGAGCTTCTAACATCTTGTATGTTTTGAATGCTAGTTTCTTTCTAAGATATGCTAGTTGCTAGTCCTGGAATGCTAACTGCTAGCCCTTTAATGGCGGTAGCTAACTAACGTTTGGTTCTAATTGTGGCTAGCTTATGGATGTTAGCTGCTGTAGGACACAAGCTAATTGGTGGTGGATTAAAATTTCTTTCTAGCCAGGGGATATTAGGGAGTTTAACTTATTAAGAGGATTAACTGGTTTACAATAACTCCTGAAAAAGGAGCTAGTGACATGTTGTAGCTTTCGAATGCTATTTTCTATCCAAGATATGCTAGTTGCTAGTCCTGAAATGCTAACTGCTAGCCCTTTAATGGCGGTAGCTAACTAACGTTTGGTTCTAATTGTGGCTAGCTTATGGATGTTAGCTGCTGTAGGACACAAGCTAATTGGTGGTGGATTAAAATTGCTTTCTAGCCAGGGGATGTTAGGGAGTTTAGCTTATTAAGAGGATTAACTGGTTTACAATAACTCCTGAAAAAGGAGCTAGTGACATGTTGTAGCTTTTGAATTCTAGTTTATTTCCTGGTATGCTAGTTGCTAGTGCTGGGATGTTAACTGCTAGCCCTTTAATGGTGGTAGCTAACTAACATTTGGTTCTAATTGTGGCTAGCTTATGGATGTTAGCTGCTGTAGGACACACATCAAGAGGATTAACTGGTTTACAATAACTCCTGAAAAAGGTGATTGCTATATCCTGTATGTTTTGAATGCTATTTTCTATCCAAGATATGTTAGTTACTAGTCCTGGAATGCTATCTGCTAGCCCTTTAATGGCGGTAGCTAACCAACCTTTGGTTCTAATTGTGGCTAGCTTATGGATGCTAGCAACATGTTGTAGTATTTTAATGCTAGTTTATTTCCTGGTATGCTAGTTGCTAGTCCTGGAATGCTAACTGCTAGCCACGCTTTAATGGCGGTAGCTAACTAACGTTTGGTTCTAATTGGGGCTAGCTTATGGATGTTAGCTGCTGTAGGACACAAGCTAATTAGTGGTGGATTAATATTGCTTTCTAGCCAGGGGATGCTAGGGAGTTTAACTAATTAAGAGGATTAACTGGTTTACAATAACTCCTAAAAAGGTGCTTGTTACATCTTGTAAGTTTGAATGCTAGTTTCTTTCCAAGACATGCTAGTTGCTAGTGCTGGAATGCTAACTGCTAGCCCTTTAATGGCGGTAGCTAACTTAGGTTTGGTTCTAATTGTGGCTAGCCTAAAAATACATGCTAGTAAGTGGTGGATTAGCCAGGGGACATTAGGCAGTTTAGTTTATTAAGAGGATTAACTGGTCTACAATCCTGAAAAAGGTGTTAGCGACATGTTGTAGCTTTTGAAAGCTAGTTTATTTCCTGGAATGCTAACTGCTAGCCCTTTAATGGCGGCTGCTAACTAAGGTTTGGTTCTAATTGTGGCTAGCTTATGAATGTTAGCTGCTGTAGGATACAAACTAATGAGTGGTGGATTAATATTGCTTTCTAGCCAGGGGACGTTAGGCTAATTAAGAGGATTAACTGGTTTATAATAACTCCTGAAAAAGGAGCTAGTGACATGTTGTAGCTTTTAAATGCTAGTTTCTTTCCAAGATATGCTAGTTGCTAGTCCTGGGATGCTAACTGCTAGCCCTTTAATGGTGGTAGCTAACTGAGGTTTGGTTCTAATTGTGGCTAGCCTAAAAATACATGCTAGTAAGTGGTGGATTAGCTAGGGGACATTAGGGAGTTTATTTTATTAAGATGATTAACTGGTTTACAATAACTCCTGAAAAAGGTGTTAGCGACATGTTGTAGCTTTTGAAAGCTAGTTTATTTCCTGGTATGCTAGTTACTAGTCCTGGAATGCTAACTGCTAGCCCTTTAATGGCGGCTGCTAACTAACGTTTGGTTCTAATTGTGGCTAGCTTATGGATGTTAGCTGCTGTAGGATACAAGCTAATTAGTGGTGGATTAATATTGTTTTCTAGCCTGGGGACGTTAGGCTAATTAAGAGGATTAAATGGTTTACAATAACTC